TCCGGATTGAGTGAGATGCATTCCTCTCTTAAAGGCACATTCCGCGATAAAATAAGGCTATGACCTCTCAAATGTGTCGGACGATCCGGAAGGCGATTTTTGAGGCTGCGCTACTTTCAAAATGTGAAAAACGGCAAGAACTCCGCTAGAAGCTGACTAATTAGGCCCATGGACACCCCTTAGGCCCATGCCGACCCTCACCGGCTGCTAGCTACTAGCTAGTAGCCACTATGTTATCTTTCTCTATAACATTTCGGACTGCTTTTTCTGCTGCTTTTCTCCGCTAATCAGATACTTAGCACTTTTTTGTGCCTATTTGAGTTCCGTTTCCCGCAATTTGCGGTCGCGAACTGTGCCTTTAAGCAGATCCGGATGACTGCCCTTAATAAGGAGTAAAAAAATTGTGGTTCGTCTCTTGAGACGATTTATTGAGGTCGCAACGCATGGGTGCAGGACAAATCGCATGGTGCGATTACAGTAATCGCTTTAGTCTCTATTTCAAAGTATGAGATCAATTGAATCCCTGCAAGCGTCCCTGAAATTAACACGGCTTGAACCGCGCCCGCCCGCAAACAATCGTCTGGCCAAACCTGATGCTCGCATTGCTTCATTTGCAAAGTAGCTCATGAGGCGAAGGGATTGATATGAAGCGGCCGCGATGCGATGAGTACCTACATGTAGCCGTATCGACCGTAGCCGTTATGGGCACAATGCCAACGAGGAACTCGTCCGAAATTGCTCTCTGAATCGTGTAGAACAAAGGCTTTTTGTAGGTTTCCGATCGTTTCACTTCGTTTTTTCGCATTCCTCACTCTCACCGCCCACTATGGGTGTTGTGTCTTCCTCATTTCGTCCGCCAAGTGACTGGTTATCGTCTTGCACTTATACCGCTTTCCCCGCTGTTCTTGCTCAAAAATAGGAATTTCTGAATCAAAGGCTCCTGCTTAAGGGCGAGCCCCGCTCACAGTGGGCGGAGCTTAGCTCGGTTCATACCCTACCCTTACCACCCTTAACTAAGCCCCTCAGACTGGCCCCTATAATGCCGAATTTCCGGACAGACAAACAGACACACAGACATACACACAGACAACCTCTGATTTATACATAGTGGGATCCTTATCGAGAACCGCGTGAAAAGGGGTCTTATTGAGGGTCGGGAAGCACCCCAAGGAGCAGCTCTCGTTTCCATCCATGGTTCCTCATGTCAGTGCCATTCCAAAGGGATTCTATTCTGCTCGGAGCTCGCTTGAGATGGAATCTTGCGGTGTTCAGAGCCCTCGCGATAGGCGATCTCATCGATCGCGAGATCCAGGGTGAAGGGATCTCACCGGTGTTCACAGCCCTTGCAAAATTTTATTCCACTAGTCGGATCGCCCGGCTACGCCGAGATCTCCTCCCTCTCTATAGCCCGGTTTCTTCTACTGTGAAGTACTCCTGACAAAGCCAGCCCGGCTGGCCTGGCTTTGCCAGGCGTACTTCACAGTAGAAGCGGAACTTTTGACGGTCTCATGCGCTATGTCATCTCTTGGAATCAATTTTTCGCCCTTGCTGGGACCGACGCTATCTCAGTGATCCTCCCCTTCTGACCCTCTTATCGGATCTTGTCAGCTGATATGACTTCGTCACGCAATAATAATGTTCCTGCCCCACACTCTATTTCATACCTAGAAAGCAACTCTCCGTCGTTGATGTGACCGGCGCTATGAATTTCGTGACAAACGGACAGACGCACAGACGCACAGACTTAGCGGGTCATATATAGTAGGATATCCCGAGCTGATACTACACCATGGATTGGGTCACAAATATGCCAGCGTTGAGCACTTCTCTTTTCCTCTTGTCGCTTCCGCTGATGCCTTTTTCCACAGCAGCCGTGTGCGTCTGATCGTGCGCATTCTAGGCTCTCCCCTAGGTTCGCATACCCGAATGGTTATCTCAATAGTGAACAGTGTTATCACATTCAAAACAATACCTCGCATTAATATGCTGCATGGATCGCATCCCAATTCTGCTAGCGATCTCTCTTTTTTTCATCTTGCAGCTTTCAGTGCATTTGTTCCACCGTTAGTGGTGTGCCTCTGTTCGAGCACATTCAACACTCCCTCATCTTACCACTACTATCCCCCAACTCCCACTCTGCCCTCCTCCCTCGCACCATACCTTCCCCCTGCCCTCTGCACGTGCTTGCGTCCGGCTGCCTACGCGAGCAGCTCGTGCAATGGCTCGGAGTGCGCTAAATGGTTGTCTTATATAGTGGAGGATCTTATCACAATCAAAATATGAGATGGATATATCTGCACCCATTCGATTAGCGAGCGGTCGTTTTCTCCTTTTAGTTGCCTGCTTTATCCCGTGAAGCATTTTGCGGACGGACAAACATACATACATACATACATACATCCACGCCGCGAGCCTGTATCACCTGTGCTCCCGTTGATCATCGAGTTCCTCGAGCGGGCGCCAGTAACGTCTCCATTCGTCCCTGCAACGTGCAAGAGTTGCCCAATAAACTCTCTCTGCTCGAGACAC